ATCCTCAGTGGAAGATATTTTTTCCATTGATTTTTAGAAAGAGGGAGGGAGGCAAGAAGGGCAAAAAACAGAGACAGACATTGATTGGTTGCTTCCCACACATACCCTGAATATGGGCTGTGGATCAAACCTGTAATTAAGGTATGTGTCCTTGACTGGAAATTAAACACATGACTCCTTGGTGCAAGGGCTGACACTCTAACCACTGAACACCACCAGCCAGGACTGGGATGGAATTTTTGAAGTAATGGCATTTGGAACATAGAATAAACCTCTGTTTTGATGGGAGTTTGCCCTGATAATAAAAGTGACACATGGACACACACAATTCACACATATCAGAGACTTGCTATTTTAAGAATGTACTTTATACAAAATAACCAGTTCATATGGAAATAAATCTACAGACCTCCAAAGATCAAAAAGCTTTTTAAAAAGTTCTTTCAAAAAATTAACCAACACACAATATTGAACTAACTATTGAGGTAAGTGTCGCTCTTAAACAGGGCATCAGCAGAGCACGACAAAATATACACAATATAAAAATAAATACCATTCCCCCCTTTCCAGTATTGGCCAGCAAAGTTCAGAGCCTTTGCAGCAGGCACAAAGAATCCCTGACGCTGTGTGCCACAGGCTAGTGGACACTGGCCTGGGCTCCCAGGAGCTGTGTGCAAGGCAGGACGATGAGGTGCCTGATCCCAGTTATGGAAAAGGGGTCCCACAAGCATCTGAATAGGGGCTCAGAATTTTCAGTAACTTATTAAATATCCATACCCGTTTCCAACCCCAATGCACAGGAAAATTAGTTGGTTATCAGGCATCTCTACATAAAGGTTCAGTAAATCCCTGGTGCAGAATTACAGAGACTAGCCAGGAGACAGCTTCTCCAAAAGTTTGTTTAACAAAGGTCCTACAAAACAGAGGATAAAACTCATCCTGCAGACAAAGCTTGTGCACAGATTCATATGAGGGAAGACATGGCTCAGTGCTCCAAGGATGCATGGTAGATTCCAACCTACCAAAAAAGAAAAAGGGGGTCTGGTTTCTTCTCACACAGAAAGCATCAATTACAGTCTTGCTTCCCAAACAGGGATGTGAGCCTCTTGCTCAGCCAAAATTCCAAGTATCTTCTCACTGTAGTGTTGAACAGAGTGCTGTCTGCAGGAATACTGTACTGCAGAAAGCCCCAGGTTTGAACAATCCTTCACTCTCATACACAGAACCAATTCTTACAACTAGACTCCATGCAGAATCCAGTAGTGGGGAGGTGAGAGCAAATGGACTGATAGACACAAAGGGGAGCAATAATGCTAGAAAACAAGCCTTTCATTTCCTTAATAACAGTTTCTCTGAAAGCATGTCAGGACTCTGACACTATGTAATTGTCCTTGCTTTGGGACTGCTGGATTAAGACTTCCTGTGAAGTTTCAAAGCACGTCTTAAGAGCATTATTTTACGTACAGATTTGAAAGTCCATTAAAAAAAAAAAAGCAAGAAAAAAGTTCAACCAACGAAGAATTTTGTGTTTTGGACAGTTGAAGTTAGTATAAATAACGATACAGCAGTTAAGTGCCACAGACACCAAATGGTTAGTCAGGACAAGCATTTCCAAGGTCTGAGGACTAGGCTAGGACAAGTTGACACTGACAAGCTAAGGTTTGACTGAACTAAAAGGCACAACCAACCACAAAAATACCACAAAAAATGAAGACAAGCATGGAAAAGTTTGCCTTTTGAGGGCTGTTGGGCTCACTGTTAATAATAAGCTCATATAAACTATCAGAAGAACCAACCTAAGGAGAGATGGAGTGACTTCACATTTTATTTTTAAAAATTGGATGAAAAATTATATGAACAAGAATCTGCATATTTTGTCCTTCCATATTCTCCAAGTGCTTACCATAATAAATTTTAGCCAATACCTAATTTTTTTTAATGAACAGACTCTGAGGGGGTAAAAAAAAATCCAAACCAGAAATCTTTAAAAAAGGCTCTCCTTTTCATTCTGGATGTTTTATTTATTTTGGGTCTTGGGAAAATATTATCAACTTCAATAAAGGTTAGCCATTAATGTAAAATCAAATAGGTGTGAGACTCATCCTTCAGAATGCAGCTGACTTTCTGAGGGATCACTGAGTGCCAGCACTCTAACAAGGCTGCAGTGATCCGGTGTGTAAGTCCCACCCTGAGAGCAGGACTTCTTAGGATCTTACACTCTACTGCCTAATATACATTATCACCAGTTACATTATCACCATTCATTCCCTAATAGAGAAGATGGCAAATGCATCTGCTTAAGACACTTGGAAAGAGTGCCAGAGGAGAAAGAACAGGTGAGTAAAAAAAAAAAAAAAAACTTGCTAGGGGAATGTGGACGAGTAGCCTATTACAGTTTATCAGGGGCACTCCTGCAATCCTACAGCTCTTGATGTCTTCTAGAATATCTTCACTTCAAAGGCCTGTTAAAGCTCAGGATATATCAGACAGGGATGAAATATATGTAACACACAATCAAATGCTACAGGATGTAGCAAGGCTGATGTGTTTCTGTTGCTCCTTTTCACAGTGTGATAATATAATACAGTAGTTCAATTTCCTATCATCTGCCTTAATTATTTCATCACCTCTCTACACACCAAGGAAGATTAAGGATAAAAGAATTCACTGATTTTTTCCCTATACTGTTCACAGCTTCTAACAATAGGGGATAAAGGACTGGGAGTGAGAAGAAAGGGTTACAGTTACCTTAATCAGTATGTACACAGCTGCTCAAATGCAACCAGGGTAGAAAGAAAGGGTACATATCAGCCAATTATTGCTTCCACTCTTCTATCCATGCTCCAGGGAGTTTAGCACAAAACAGTCCCTACAGTGTTAGCATCAGGGAAGAGGACCTATGCATGGTTAGTGTGTTACTAATTCAGGAAGGAGAAAAGGCCTCTCAAATCAGCTTTAATGTAAAAAAGAGAGAGGCTGTCAGTGACAGAGTGCTCTGGGTCACGACCAGGTCTAAACCAGACCTATGCTAGCTATAAAGACCAATTAGTCTGTCATTTCCTGCTTTTGCACACACACAGAAACAGAAGTAGTAATACTTCCACCATGCTATCTTCCACACTAACAAGCTTAAGGGCTGGTTGAGACCCACCCACAAACCTAATCTGCTCTTCCTGCAGAGAATGCTGACCTCTGCATTTCTCTAAACTAGATTTGCCCACAATATGTTTCTAACAAAAACTAGGATAAAATTAGAACAAAGCCTCCAGACTTATTCCACTTAAAAGCATGCCAAATTTAAAATTGAAGTCTGTTAGAGAAAAATTCATGTTGTTGTCAGGCACCTGTGTTCTCTATTCAATTCAGTCTTGCCTGAGCCATGAGCCACACTGCCAGGTCAACAAGAATGCTTTTATTTGTGTGAATTTCCCTTATACTGGAGTTGTGTCTTGGGGTCCATGTGTATAACATAAATGTTTCCAATCTGTTCCTTTTCCTAAGGATAGCATATGTTTAGCAAACTTTAAAAATGACAGTTTCACATTTCATCAAGGATGTTGGAGTGAAAGGTCCTATTGGCACTTCACAAATAAATTTATAAGTAAATAGGACAGATTAATATACCTGGGTAGCTTTTCCATTATCCTAAAGGCATGCTTAAAAATATGCTATTCTTAAATAAAAAAAAAATCTACTAATTTCAGGGCATTTTCCTTAGTTCTTTCTTTGTGGGACATTTATATAAGCCCTAACTTTGGTGGCATCTCAACTAAAATCAAATACAGAATGCTAAACAGGAAGAATCCAGTGTAACTTACTTCTAAAACTGTAATAAAGTAATTTAATACTGTAAAATTGTTTCCTATCACATATTCGACAAACATTCCCAAGAACATGTTCTTGATAGCTATTTTAAACCACCAATGACTTATTTTACATTTAAAATAAGGACTATATAGTGAAATATTACTAAATTCAAACTGTAAACCTATAAAATACATTTTCCCTATTCAAAACTGTGCAATTTCTTTATTGATACTAACATATACAAACCTGAGTAGTCACTTCCACAAAATGTGATTTGTGCCAGAAAGCTTTGTGTGATGCCTTCCAGATCACAGTCCCAGCAGGTCTGTGAAGAGGATAAATAATTGTCTTTTCTAAGAAGAAAATACTCCAGTGATCCCAATTCCAGAAATTGGTTTACAGCTCTGGTAGAACTGGTGGCAAACAAGAAAGGGCACTGATCTCCCAGTCTAAGACCTGGGCCACCTGACAAAAGGGCAGTCTGTCTTTCCTTCTGGACGAAAACTTCTGGAAGGCCATGAGAAACTCTGCCTCTAAACTGAGAAACTGAACAGTTAGGGGGCAATGGAATAAAACTCTCTCGGCTGATATATTCAGTGTGATGTGATTGTAAACAGATAAGGATCACTCCAGTGTGGTGTGCCCACCATAGTTAGGACTTCCATTTTTTCCAGATTCCTACCCACCTTCCCAGTTTATGTACATACATTCACCACCACCAACAAAAATTATTTTAAAAGGCAACGTGAAAATTCTGTAAACTGGACCCAGCTCCAAAGACAATACCATGAGTAGTTCCTTCCCCAAATATATACCTGAGTTTAGCTGCTCATGAAAGTTTACAAGCACCACTCCATTCCATGCTTATGTATGCCCCTCCCAAGTTTTAGATGATTTTCCTGAACAAGTCTCAGGACCTGGAAGCCATCATTAACTACAATTCATTTGTTCTTGACTACCAGCCATGCAAGAGATCCCTGACCAGGACTCTTGTAAGCTGTGTGTCAAATTATTTGAGCAGAGTGGTTCTAGGGGCATGGTTCCAGCTTCTGGATGGCATGAGGTGGTGCACTGTGAGGGGGTATGACAGGATGATAAGAATAAAGATGAGCGAGGATTGTTCCCCGAAATTCTCCGTGTTCCAGTATTCATGTGCTGCTTTCTGTTTTCTTAGGGGTTATTTCCTCCTTGGACTAGCTCTGGGAAAAACAAAACAAGGATGTTTAAAACAAAATTTACATTTGTGTTAATTGTTAAAAAAAAAAAAATTAAATAAGCCAAAGACCTGTTCTTGTAATCTGGGAAAATGGCTGGATTTTGTTTCCCCATCCATTTTACCTCCAGAGGGGGCTCAGAAGTGCTAGACCTCCCACTCAAACCCTACCAGTATCTATAGACTTCTTGTACACCAGGAATGACAATGCTGCTGCTACTGACAACTACTCTGCGGAGGCCGAGGGAGAGACTATGAGTGAGAGGAGAATGCACGTGAAATCCCTTAGCACAGTGCCAGGTACTGAAGCAGCACTCAAAAATAGCTACTATTATTTAAAAATCTGATTGCCTAGTTCCTCAAAAATCAGATAGGTAGAAAGGACAAAATAGGCAAGGGATTATATCAAAATACACGCTGGTGGCTAGTTTGGAAAAATAAAGTTTAAATAATCTCCAAATAGCTGATTATATAAGTAAAGGAGAAAGGAACATGTGGCAGTAGTAGAGAAGCTACCCCCAGAGGCCTTCTCCTCATCTTTCCACTGCTGAGTCAACCTCAAGCACAGGGCCTGTAGCACTTTCTGGGAAAAGTGTCGTATCAACAGGACACCTTAAAATATATATTTTTTCAGCCGAGACCGGTTTGGCTCAATGGATAGAGCGACGGCTTGGGGACTGAAGGGTCCCGGGTTCGATTCCGGTCAAGGGCATGTACCTTGGTTGCGGGCATATCCCCAGTAGGGGGTGTGCAAGAGGCAGCTGATCGATGACTCTCTCTCATCGATGTTTCTAACTCTCTATCTCTCTCCCTTCCTCTCTGTACAAAATCAATCAATCAATCAATCAATCAATCAATATTAAAAAAAGATGAAATTTATATAAAAAATTATATATATTTTTATTCAGAATAGCAATGAAGTCATGAAAAATGTGGGGTTAGATGTGCCGACCCACCATGCAGTTGAAAATCCACATATAAGTCAGCTCTCCGCACCAGTGGATTCCCAATGCAGATAGGGACTAGGTACTTCTCTCCTACTACAACCTGCAGGAATAAAGAAGCTCTGCCAAAACCGTTTGGCTCAGTGGATAGAGCGTTGGTCTGGGAACTCAAGGGTCCTAGATTCAATTCTGGTCAAGGGCATGTACATTGGTTGTGGGCACATCCCCGGTGGGGTGTGTGCAGGAGGCAGCTGGTCGATGTGTCTCTCTCATCGATGTTTCTGGCTCTCTATCCCTCTCCTTTCCTCTCTGTGAAAAATAAATAAAATATATTAAAAAAAAAAAAAAAAGCTCTAATTTTTGACTCCTCTTACCTGATCAAGAGAGTGTGTTTGGGACTTATGTGGTGGCAGCTCTTCCTGCAATGTTGCTGGTGCTGGGGTCTTTGGGAAAGAGGACTGTGACTGGACTGGATGCATTTGCATTCTATAGCCATGAAAGAGAAAAAGTTAAGAATTGAAGGGAAAAAAAGATTCTTTAATCATGAAAATCTCAGCCAGCTACTGCCTTAATTATTAATGTGATTAAACTGGAAATCATCAATATTGGGAAAAAATTGGCATTATGTGCATCTAGGGCATAATGTAGTAAGAATATGACCACTTATTTAGTGTTTAACTAGATTGTAAACGCAAACAGTAAAAATTCAAAATTTGGGACACTACATGAGAACTGGCCAGAGCTTTTTTTTTAAGACAAAAGAAAACAATACAATGATTTTGGGAATGCTGTAAAAGAGACTAAATAGACATTATAACCAAATGTAAATACCTTGATTGGATCTTGAACGAAAAAAAAATCCGAGGGACGGTAGGGGAGGGTGGGGATAGGCGAGAGAGATCAACCAAAGGACTTGTGTGCATGCATATGAGTCTAACCGGTGGCCATGGACCGCAGAGGGCTGGGAGCATGTGTGGACTAGGGTTTGGAATGGGAATGGGGGGGGGGAGAGGGGAGATAAGGACAAATATGTGATACCTTAATCAATAAGGTAATTAAAAAAAATCAAAACAGCCAAAACCAGTTTGGCTCAGTGGATAGAGCGTCGGCCTGCAGACTGGAAGGTCCCGGGTTCGATTCCGGTCAAGGGCATGTACCTTGGTTGCAGGCACATTCCCAATAGGGGATGTGCAAGAGGCAGCTGATCGATGATTGTCTCTCATCGATGTTTCTAACTTTCTATCCCTCTCTCTTCCTCTCTGTGAAAAATCAATAAAATATATTAAAAAAAAATAAAAAAGTAAAAACAAAGAATCATAGCTATAAAAGACATTTTGGGAACAACTGGAGCAATTAGGACTCTATATTATTATAGATACTATTAATATCCTTTTCCTTGGGTGTGATCAATAGTTTAAGATTGTGGTCCAGGACAAGGATCCTTATTCTTAGGATATGCATGTGTAAGTATTTAGGGATAGAGGGTCATGTTATCTAAAACTTAATTTAGAATGGTTTAGGAAAAAAGGCAAAATAAAAATAAAAACAAAAAACAACCAAACCAAACAACAAACAAAAAAACCCACCAAAAACCCCAAACATATTTAAAAGGCGAAAGATTTATGCGATCTGAAGAGAAACCAGAGCATATCCCCAAACATATTTAGAGAGGTAGAAAACAAATATAACAAAATGGTAAGTGCAAGAGGGTTTGTTTGAAGGTAAGGTTTTCTTAGGTTGGCGCTAGGGAGGGGAATGTAGGTTTTTAAGTTGGATAAAATTGGTTTTATGATTAGGTCTCATAACTTTAACTGGTATGAGGAATAAAACTTGAATATGATGTCCTGTTGCCCTGTAGGGTTTAAGAGACCTTTTTTTGCCTTAGTCAGAGTATGCATGAACTCAGAAACAATGTTGCAGCCCTTGATTATAGCTCACAACTGCAGCCATCATGTTTCTAGTGTTAAAATCTAACTAAACAGTCATTTCAATGTCAACTCATTTTCATGAGGGGGAAAAATAGTCAAAGATAAAAATCAAACTTCATGGCTAATACATTTTCATTAAGTCGCATATCAATGATTCAGATGTTCTTCTTGGTCCCAGAAGACCACTAAAGTTTATCTTTATTCCTAAGGCCATTTTTCTTTTAAAAACTATCATCTACTTTTTTTTTTTTCAGGGAAAAATAAATCAAATGCAATCTTACCCTGATGGTCTGTATGTTTCTTGAAAAGGTCTCCTTATTCCACTTCCAGTGCCTATTTGTTCCATCATTACAGCCTGAAAATGACCCAAGCCCTCTTCCTGACAGTGGTAGATGGGGCTCTCCTGAGAGAGGCCATTGGGCTGGGCAGCCACTGGATGGTGAGGCGGGTGAGCAGCCACAGGGGAAGAATATGCCCTGGGCTGGAGATGACTGGCTGGCTGGTGAGGTGTATAGGAAGGCCTTGTTTGTAGCATCACACCCTGAGGTGGAAAAGCAGATGAACCAAACCCCATCCCTGAACTCAGAGGTGATGGAGGAGTCCCATAAAGATACTCGCTGGCTGACAACGAACTCTGTTGCTTGGTAGCTGCATTATGGTTGTCCAGGTCTAAAAATTCTTTGGGACTCTCTGGCCTCTCCATAGATTCATCTGGTTTCTCTTCCTCTGGACCAGGATTCTGCCCATCAGTTGCAATGACCTTAGCAGCCACTGCATCCATGCAGGTTGGGGAAGTTAAGGCAGCATTTAGTGTCTCACAGCCTTGTAGATTAGCCATGGCAATCTTATCTGAGAAGAGGGGTCTTGGAGGGGGTGGCTGGTTAGGTGGGAGGCCACTTGGGCTTCCCAGGGGAGAAAGGTGTCTCTGCCAATCAGAAAAGTCCTGTGGACATGTGTAATAAGGAGTTCGCTGATAGTGATGGTAGGAAGGCTGAGGTGGTGGCTGGTAGGAATACCTCATTCCTTGGTGGGGGCGATAACGGGGAAAGACTCCAGAATGAGGGTTGTTAGTATGAAAGCCCCTAGAGGGAAAATGCTGAAGATGTGATACTGAGGGTTTACCTCCCATCACAGGGCCAAGGCCTTGCAGGCTTGAACTGATGTGATAATGTGTAGCTGAATTTGGGTATTCCAGGCCAGACATGTACAAGGGAGAAAACTGACTGACAGTTCTTTCCATCAAATTGGGGTCTGCATTGGGAGGTGTAGCTGGGTTCTGTCCTGAACATGAAATGGTTTCCTGCAATGTTTTACTTCTGGGGCAGAATGGCTTTTCTGTACCACTACCACCAAGACCCTTCCCTTCTGATCCACAAGTGAGTACTTCAACCACCACTCCATTTTCAGACAGAGCTCCTCTATTTGCCAGAGTGGAGAGGTCCCCCATACATCCCTGGGCTGCTGGGCTGATGTAGCTATTCTCCGAGGGCCAGGTATTTTTGCCCTTTGTTGCCTGACAGTTGTTTTCAGATGCTGAGGAGTCATTTTTGAGCTCTGGGCCTTCTGCTTCCCTTTCTTGTGGCGAACTCTGCTTGGTACTGTTGGTCGGTAAGGGTGGTGTAGTGTGAGGTAGTTGTCTGAGGTACACCCCCTCCGAGGCACCAACACTTGGTGGCTTCTCTAGCCCAGGTAAGGGATCTGCATAAGAAAATGGAGAACAAAAGAACAATTCAATAGCTGAAATGATACCAATGGAGGTAATAATGAAAAGAACATGATAAGCAGTCAGATTAAGGGGAGTCAGGGTTGAAGTGGATGTGTAGTCATTCAAGCCTCAGCTAGAAAATTTGAGAATCCCTGAAAGGAGTCACGATGTCGAGACCCTTATACACTCCCTTGCGTAGACCAGGAGGCAAGATCTAACAACTCTACAGCTACTCAAAAGGTTTGCAAAGTAATAGAGATGTTCTTCTTCCTGTGTTGTCACCGAAGAGTAGTGGATGGGTGTGAGATGACTCATGGCTCATGGACTCCAACTAGATGCATGTGGAGTATGGCAGGAGAGTATGGTTGTTATAGAAGAATTGTAGACCAGGCTGGGAAGCTCTAAAATTTGACACAGTGAGAAGACCAGGGAATGATGGCTCACAGGAGGCCAGTCCCCAACCTGTGGCCTATCAGAGCATAAGCTCCACAGTGACTTTATTTTGTCTCCCTCCACACCCTCAGTATTTGCACAAAATGGGAATCAATATTTATTGAATGAAATAAAAAATCTTATTAAAAAACATTTAAAAAATTGATTTTAAAGAGAGAGGAAGGAAGAGGGAGAGAGAGGAACATCAATGTGAGAAACATTAATCGTTGCCTACTCCACATACCCCGACTGGGGATCAAACCCCGCAGGCCTTTTGGTGCACGAGACAATACTCAACCAGCTAAGCCACTCTGGCCAGGGAAAATCTCACTATTCTTCATTCTGAGTACATATTGGTATGTGTCCAAGGAATAAAAGGATAGAAATAGACTTTAAAATATTGAAAACTTATTTCATATAATGATAAACTTCCAGGACAAGAAAATTTAAAGGCAGTTTGATGTCATGATTAAAAACGTAGATGCAGCTGAAAACGGTTTGGCTCAGTGGATAGAGCGTAGGCCTGTAGACTGCAGGGTCCTAGGTTCGATTCCGGTCAAGGGCATGTACCTTGGTTGCAGGCACATCCCCAGTGTGGGGTGTGCAGAAGGCAGCTGATTGATGTTTCTAACTCTCTATCCCTCTCTTCCTCTGTAAAAAAGTCAATAAAATATATTAAAAAAAATAAATAAAAACGTAGATGCAGCTCTATCTAGGTTGGCTCAGTGGATAGAGCATTGACTGGGGACTGAAGGGTCCTGGGTTTGATTCTGATCAAGGGCACATGCCCGAGTTGTGGACTTGATCCCCAGTAGGGGCCGTGCATGAGGCAGCAATCAATAATTCTTTCATCATTAATGTTTCTATTTCTCTCTCCCTTCCTTTCTGAATCAATAAAAATACATTAAATAACAACAACAAAACAATTGTGGATGCTGGATTCAGTCTGTCTGGGTTCAAATCTCAGTTCTTCCACTTACTAGGTAGATCAGAACAAATCATCCACTACCTTTGTATCTTGGACTTCCCACCTGTAAAAACAAGACTAATATAAAATTAGCTAACTAGAAGACTTGTTCTGAGAATGAAATGAGTTAATATACCTAAAAGCCTCAAAAAAAGTGCCTGGCACTCATTTGTATAGTGATCACTATTGCCAGTTTGGATCTTTGGATCAAAAACAATATCATGATTGGACCAACCATGAGTAGTTCAAGAAAAAGAGGCTGAAAAATCAGTTTATATTTGGCTTGATATTGTGTAAAAAGGTTATTCATGAATGAACAGCTTAGAGGGTCAAAAGTAGGATAAAAGTGACTAAATTACCTCGGTCATTTTCAGGATCTTCTATTTCACTGTTATCCTGTGTCCTCCCAGGGTTTCCCAAGGCAGGCTTGGGGGCTGACACACTAACTGATGCTGAGTGAGCTCCCTGTGGAAAAGGGCCAGGTAAATGTGGGGGAGCAGGCTGTCGGGGGTGGTAAGGCACACCGGGCAGGCAAACGCGTGAGGAAAGCTGCTGCATGGCGATCATCTCTGGGCTGTCCATCATGGAGTCCCCTCCTTGCACCCCTCTCAGAACCTGGGAGGGTGCTCCAAACAGGGGACTCGGTGCTAGAGGTGGCTGTAACCGATGCCCACCAGATTTACAGTGTGGTCGCATGTACCCTGAAGAAGGAACACCATGAGGTAGAAAACTTGATTGTTCAGTCCACTGGTTTGAAGGAAGAGGTGGTCTCATCACTAGGGAATCCATCATGTGACCAAGAGTGTGAGGCAGGTGGGATGGTCCTGGCCCCATGAGGGGCTTTTCATCTGGCCCTAAAGGTCTTGGGTTTGCAGCACTGTGGTTCCCATTCCAGACAGCAGGGTATACTCGATTCAGGTATTTGTATGATCGGTACATGTGGCTGGGAGGAATTTCTGAGCTTTCAGGAAAGTCTGGGGGTCGGGCTTGAACCCCTCCAGGCCTGGGAGGAATAAATCCTGGCTGGAATTGAGTTGGGGGATACATATTTCTATCCTGACTGGGGCCACTCATCTGCCCAAGAGGCAAGGAACCAGGATGTGATCCCATGTTAGAAAGGTGCCTCAACCCCCCACACATTTGCTTCTCTTCAGGCGTGCCCAGCCTGGGTCCTCGATGCTTGTTAATTCCAACTGGAGGCTGGCAACAAGAAAAGAGAAGACAGCGGCATTCACCAGACCCATAGAATCAGGTATCTCTTGTAATGTGCTTCATCTATAGATTCTATAGAATAGGAGATAATTAAATTTAACTTGGTTAAACACTGCATTTCTAAAAGTTACCTTGGAGACTCTCTATATCTCCAGGTAATGAGCAGTTTGCTTACCTGCAAGGCAAAAGGTGGCTGCTGCTGCATAGGCTCCCCAGGGTGTGGTTCTGGGACTCTGGAGGAGACATATATACTGGCAGGATCTGATCCTCGAAGATGGCCAAATGTTCCTGGTTCTGCTGGCCTCTGGAGGGTATTGAGTAAAGGCAAGGAGGGGGTGGGGAAAGGAAAAATAGACATTAGAAAGAAAATAAGGACTTTTCTGCTGAAACCGGTTTGGCTCAGTGGATACAGCGTCGGCTTGGGGACTGAAAGGTCCCGGGTTCGATTCCGGTCAAGGGCATGTACCTTGGTTGCGGGCATATCCCCAGTAGGGGGTGTGCAAGAGGCAGCTGATCGATGACTCTATTTCATCGATATTTCTAATTCTCTATTTCTCTCCCTTCCTCTCTGTACAAAATCAATAATATATATATATATATATATATATATATATATATATATATATATATTTTTTTTTTTTTTAAAACAAACTTTCCTGAAGACGAACATAATAGCACAGAGTAGGAGTAGTTCCAGAGCCCAAAGCACTTTTCCTCTCTAGGAGAGACAAACTTCTGTTTATCTTTTCCATTATTGCCCCCTCACTGACAAGAGCCCTTTTAGCTAATATACCCCCCCTAATTGTCTTCCACCATGAAATTTTAATCATAGATAGGCTGTATATCCTATGTATTGTATGTTGCTCTGTGCTCTTTTCTTTTTTTTTTTTTTTAATAAATCCTCACCCAACGATATATTTATTGATTTTAGAGAGAGGGAGAGGAAAGAGGAGAAACATTGATTGGTTATCTCCTGTATATACCCTAAAGATTGAATTCTCAACCTACCAGGTATGTGCCCTGACTGGGAATTGAACACATGATATTTTGTTGGTGTACAAGGTTGGGGCTGTACCTCTGTGCTTTTATTTATAATAAGACTTGAGACATTTTTATTCAACTTCCCCTCCATGTTCATAATGTGTGGTTCAAATGATTAAGAGACAGGATACTACCTAATAAAGAGGGAATATGCTAATTGCTACCACATCCTCAAAAAAGGAAACACCCACAAGATTGCAGCGCCCAGTCCCCTCAGCCCTGCCCAGGGGACAGGCACGCAGCATAGCCGGGCCCATTCCCAGTTGGGTCTGTCTGCTCTGCATACCTACCTCCAGAGCCCCCAGTCTTCTCAGCCCCCAGCTGCCCAGGGCTGGCCCAAGGTGCAGGCAAGCGTTGGATGGCAGCTACCCAGCCGATGCCCAAGATGTAGGCATACCTCGGATGGCAGCTGCCCAGCTGCTTAGGTCTGCCCAAGGCTCAGGTAACCAGGGCCAACTGAGGCTTGTGCTTTCCCCTGATCCCCGGTTACCTCCCACCCCTGAAGGCTCCTGGATTGTGAGAGGGGGTAGGCTGGGTTGAAGGACAACTCCCATCCAGTGCATGAATTTTCATGCACCAGGCCTCTAGTTTAAAATAAAGGAAGAATAAAGGAAGGACAGATGAGGGGGGAAAAAAGTACCCATATACAGCAAAATTATCAGCGAAGATAAGCCAACTGAAAAGGCTTTACTTTCCTCTTAATTCACCAATTAGGAGTAACCTCAGCAGAATTTCTGCTATTTCTTACCATCTGATTTAAAAGGGGTGCCTGGTTGGGCATCCCACCATAATGCAGGGGACGAGGAAGGCCTTGGTTACTCGGTGTGCCCACCTTCGGAGGGAGCCGTGTAGAACTGACACTCTGACCAGCCCCAGAGGAGGGAGCTCTGCGTGCAGGTGGCAATGATTTTCCTCCGTTTTCCACTGGCTGTTGTTTCCTGCTGGGCCCTTCGGAGTCCTTGGAGCGGGTACAAATGTGGCTTCCACCACTTCGCCCAGCCCGACTCCGCCTCTTCTCCCGCTTTTCATCCTCTTTGATCCAAAATTCTTCATCTGTGTCTCCATCTTCGCCAGGAAAATGCTTCATCATTGCCCGATGGAAACACCTCTCTAAATTATCCGACATCTTGGTATACTCTACAGGAAGATATAAGAATTGCCCTCCAGCTACAGTTTTTATAGGCCACAAAGACAATTGTCCTATTGATAAACAAAAGATGCTATTGGGGCAAACTGAGTTTCTGAACTAAGAGGCTATAGGCTGCATGGCTGATAGTAACTCTAGAAACCATTAGACTAAGCCAGTAAAAATACTAAATATAATCACTGAATCCGTTTTGGTTTTAAACTAAGGCACTCTAAGTCACTGCACGAATGACTCTAAGTTTCTATACCTGACTCATATATACCCATAGACAGCTAATCAAGTATGCTTCCCAAATGATTTAAGAATCAGCTCTATTGCCGAAACCAGTTTGGCTCAGTGGATAGAGCATCAGAAAGGTCCCGGGTTCGATTCCGGTCAAGGGCATGTACCTTAGTTGCGGGCACATCCCCGGCGGGGGTTGTGCAAGAGGCAGCTGATCAATGATTCTCTCTCATTGATGTTTCTAACTATCCCTCTCTCTTCCTCTCTGTAAAAAATCAATAAAATATATTAAAAAAAAAAAAAGAATCAGCTCTACCTAGGTAGAGTTATCATCAGTGGTACACTGTGTTAAAGAGGCACAATAAAAATGACCTAGACTGGCCTGTAGGAGAATGAGAAATAACCTGAGCCCAGCTGCCAACAGTTGCACTCTCGTATTGTGTGAGAAAGGAGAGAATTCCTGACACATATTGTGTAAGTGATTAGAATGGCCAATCCCAGCGCTTTTATTTATTTATTAAAATATATTTTATTGTGCCCTTGAGCAAATCAAATTCGGGACCCCCCAGTCCATAGGCTGATATTCTATCTACTGAGCCAAAATGGATAGGGCCAGAATGTATATTTCTAAAAGGTATTTTATTCTTGGTTACAATAATTCAGCCAATGTGCACCCAGAGCAAACCCCTGCCCCACTTACCACTACTTTCCCCATTATATTTTCGACAATTCCTGAACATTGTCTTCATGTCATTTACAAATTCCTCCTTGGTACAGTATAAGCCTCCATTTAGTTTCTTTTCCATGCTTGAAATATCCATTGGGACCTAAAACAGGGCACATTTAATTACAATATGCTGGAGAAAACATCTCATAATCAATATATAGCAAAGGGATCATGCTGTTTTGAGTTAGTCAAAAGCCTGATGTATACGATCAGCAACCCTGACCCTCAAGGAACAATAAATAAATCAAGCAAAACACAACAACAAAAAGCAAGAGCAAAAAACAAACATCATGACAGGTATAACTGCATAGTAGGTTTAGCTACCTTAATAATTTGATAATAGTTTGGGGCATATGATTCATCCACAGGTTCTAAAAAGGGCCAGGAATCCTTGTGAGCCTTTACCACATCTAGAACTGAGAGCCAAAGAAGAGAGCTTAATAATCTCACATAGGAGTACTTTTATCAGAAACATAATAGTTGAGAATGGAACTGACCTTTATACATGGCAGTGAAATCATCATCCAACTCAAAGCTGTAAATCATAAATAAAAAATTAATAGTAACTTTGATCTCTCTTTAACTCTCTTACTTTAAAAACAGACATAGTTGGTTGCACCAAGTTTTGGAATAGATTCAATAATTTTTATTAATGTTAAGTTTATAACAGTGGTTAACACACCAGAAAATAATTATGAATTATATAAGGGTTAGCATAGATGACACAAAACTTATCATTATGTTAATTATTTAATAGCATATTCTTTTTCAGGTCTTATTTTACTCTAATGAGTATTTGTGATATAAAGAATAATCCAAAAAAGCATAAAAAAGAATGAGAAGCTCATGAAGATAGAATATTACCTACCAAAGAGTATTGTTTTAAGGATTAAATGAGAGAGTACTTAGCACAATGCCAAGTGCTTAATAAATGTTACAGGTTGCTACTGTTAGTATCATTAAATACTCACAGATCTTTAATCCTTTTTTCTTCCCTCATGGGAGAATTAGGGTCCAGGTGGGAAAGCTCTGGGGGGAGCTCCTTGCCTTGAGCCAGCAGCCATGCCCTTTCTTCCCTGAGCTTTCTCCTCTTAGCTCGGTCTACAATGGACACAAAGCATCATGGTACAAGTGAGTTAAGTAAGTACTCTCTACTTAAAATGTTCATTAAATATCCTTATCATTGTGAGAGAAGGAAGAAATAAAGATCATAAAGTAGTATCATGAAGTCACCTGTGCTTCCTTTGCCTGTCTCTTTTTGATAATTATGATGATTCTATAGATGAAATACTGTTTCATCTTAGTCATACTGAGTTCAAGTAGAGTGATGAGGTGATAAGGCAAGCACTTGAATGTGAGAGGGAAAAGAGCAAGGCTGAAGAATAATGAAATTAGAAAAAAAAAAAAATAGATGACTGAATGAGGGATTATCCTTATCAGTACCAGAGGTCTTTCCTTTTTCTCTCTAAAAAGCAACATACAGTGTTGGCTTGGTGTGGCTCAGTTGGTTGAGCACGGTCCCATACACTGAGAGGTTGCCAGTTCAATTCCTAGTCAGGGCACATGCCCAATAGGGGGTGTACACAAAGCAGTCAATTGATGGTTCTCTCTCATTGATGTCTCTTCCCCTTGTTCTTTTCTCTTTTTAAAAATCTATAAAAACATATTAAAAACAAAAAAAGTAACATACATTTTTAAGGCCAGACTCTCAAATCAAACATATACAGGATTTTTATATGTATCTACAAGTTCTCAAGATTTATAAAAACATGCATGCACTTCCATAGTATATGCTCTTCAACCAATTCTTAAGACTGGCAGCTGACCCTTACATCTGGCTGGGAACAATGGAAAACATGCCAGCTGGAATTGGCATAGAACTGGAAGGCGGGTATGATTTTTTTTTTTCTTTGCTCATAGATATGTCCACGGGGCACTCAATGCAAGTAGGGAATAGGACGGTCAGGAGAAAGAGAAACACAAAGGGATGAAGAACAATTTCAGACACAAAAACGAAAGGGAGAAACCAGGATAGATCTTGTTTTCTCCCCTAACGGATAGGCCCCTTGTCTTCTATTGCTATCAGCATGACATGATTCTGCAAACAGTATTTTCCTTGTTAAGTTCCATTTGATCTGTAATACAGTATTTTTCAACTTAATAATAATCCTTTTCTAGTTGACTGCAACTTTTTTGCAATTTATAACAATAGTAGAGGCCCAGTGCACGAAATCTGTGCATCTCTCTTTCTCCCTCTCTCTCTCCCCCTCAACCCAGATTGCAAGAGGGCCAGTCCAGGCTGAGGAACCCTGCCGGTGCATTATCAGGGTTGGGGAGGGACATGGGAGAGCTCTAGGGTGTGTCTGGCCCATCTCGCTCAGTTCTGATAGGCTGGACCCCAGCAGCAAGCTAACCTACTGGTGGTCAGTGCATGTCATAGTGAGCAGTTGAATGGCCTTAGTATATTAGCAGCATATTAGGCCTTTATTATATAGGACTAGAGGCCCAGTGCATGAAATTCGTGCAAGGGTCTTGGCCCTCCTCTGCCACTAACATGGCTCTTGCTGTCACTTCTGCTTCGACCCCGTAGTTTTGTCTAGGAGGTCACCCGGAAGGACATCTGGTCTAATTAGCATATTATACTTTTATTATTATAGGTTATAATGACCATTCTTTGAAAAACTCTTCTTATGCATATGCATGAAAGCACTCTATGATACAAATCCAGCAGTGCAATCGCTAGATAGAGAAGTACAGAGGATAACAGAGGCATTATCAAAGTGCTATAGCTATTAAAGGTTATACTATTTTTTCAATAGTGATTTAAAAAAATATATATATTTTATTGATTTTGTACAGAGAGGAAGGGAGAAAGATAGAGAATTAGAAACATTGATGAGAGAGAGTCATCAATCAGCTGCCTCTTGCACACCCCCTACTGGGGATATGCCCACAACTAAGGTACATGCCCTTGACTGGAATCGAACCCGGGACCCTTCAGTCTCCAAGCCGACGCTCTATCCATTGAGCCAAACCGGTTTCGGCTCAATAGTGATTTTAGTACCTCATCCTCAGGAGATAAAAGTTAGCATTTTGCCAAACTAATGGGTATGACATGGAATTTTGAAGGTTTCATCATTTTTTGTGTTAACCCTCACCTGAGGATATTTTCCCATTCATTTTTAGGGACAGAGAGAAAAATAGTGAAGGGACACATCGAATGTCCACCTCTTACACTAAGATTGAGCCTGTAACCGAGTTTTGTGTCCTTGACCAGAATCGAATCTGGGACCCTACAGTCTGTGGGCTGACATTCTATATACTGAGCCAAACTGGCAAGGGCTCATTTTCATTTTTCTGATTCAAATGATAATGAACAAATTTTTAGTTTATTGGCCACTAAAGCAAACCTCTCCTGTGAATTTCCTGCTTGCATACTTTGACCATTTTTCCCTGTGGATTTCAGAATTTTCAAAACATATTTTCATTGATTTCAGAGAGGAAGGGAGAGGGGAAGAGATAGAAAAATCAATGATGAGAGAGAATCACTGATCGGCTGCCTCCTGCAAGCCCCCACTGGGAACGAGCCCAACACCCGGGAATGTACCCTTGATCAGAATTGAACTCTGGACTCTTCAGTCCACATATTGACATTCTATCCACTGAGCCTGTCTAGGGTGGATTTTGGAATTCTTACTGATTTGGATAAGTGCTTTAAATAATCTTTCTGATTAGTGTGAAAATTTTCTTTTTCTACTCCATGGTTTATCTTTTCTCTGTTTATAGTGTTTCTACCATATGTAAGTTTTATACAATTAATATATCAATCTCTACTTCCCCTATGCTTTCCATGACTGAACACTCAGTGCTGGAGTTCATCTGAATACATATTCCTTGAATACATATTCCAGCCTGCTGATTTTTGAAAATAATTAAAAAAAAAATTTTTTTTTTTCAGTTTGAAAGATGTGTTTAATTTTTTTTATCACTTAAAAAATAATGCCCAAATTTAAGTCAAATGCAAAAACGTATAATACATCTATAATTAAAGAACCCTTTCCCAGGAATGCAAAATTATTGAGACATGTTTATTTTCCCTCCTTTAAAAAAAATATTTTTATTGATTCTTTACAGAGAGGAAGGGAGAGGGATAGAAAGCTAGAAATATCGGAGAGAGAGACATTGACCAGCTGCCTCCTACACCCCCCCCCACCAGGGATGTGCCCGCAGCCAATGTACTTGCCCTTGACCGGAATCGAACCTGGGACCCTTCAGTCCACAGACCGACGCTCTATCCACTGAGCCAAACCTGTTTCAGCTATTTTCCCTCTGAAAATGGCTTGGCCAGGTAACATATGGCTGCAGATGGTAAATTCACATCACTCTCTATACTGCTTCCCTCCCTTAAGTCCACACCACTGTGCTTCTGGCCCTGGAAACAGAATACATGTAGGCCTTACAGATCCAGGGCCCAGTGGACAGACAGGCTCTTGTCTTCTACCCTGTCAACCATGTCTTTGATCGCATCCCAGTCGAGCTTGCTGAGGATGCTGCCAGTGCTCTCAGAGGCACTGTCCATGTAGGGGACACTGGCTCTTCTTCAGTTGGTGACAAATCTTGTAGAAGGGAACTGTGACTTCCGTGAAGAATCTTACAGATGTCTGAAGGCACTAGTCAAGGACTGACCAGTCTCCTCTCTCTCATCCTCTGCACACACCTGCTCCATGTGAGGGCCAAGCCCCGCGCTCCTGTATGATTTTGAATGCTGTAGACAGGGAGCAGCAGAGCCTTTCCGGAAGGTGACTGGAGAGTGCACACCTTTTCTCCGTGCCCCTCGGGCTCCACCAGTTTTATTCTGGGTAAAAGTGACAGTTCTATGTGGACAAGGTGAGCTCTAAGGTTGCCTGAAAGATTTCCCTTTTGTAATTTAAATTCTTTATTGTTTAAAGTATTACATTTCTCCTTTTTACCCCATTGACCTCTCCTTGGTTGTTCTCACCCCTAGTCTGCTGATTCTTATTGATGTGTGCCTAAACTGCAATCTGGTTTTAAGTTATCATATTTTATTTTTTAAATTTTATTTTATTTTTAAAATATATTTTATTGATTTTTTACAGAGAGGAAGGGAGAGAGATACAGAGTTAGAAACATCGATGAGAGAGAGTCATCGATCAGCTGCCTCTTGCACACCCCCTACTGGGGATATGCCCGCAACCAAGGTACATGCCCTTGATCGGAATCGAACCCGGGACCCTTCAGTCCCCAAGCCGACGCTCTATCCACTGAGCCAAACCGGCAAGTTATCATATTTTACATTTGTAAGAGTTCTATTTGTTTCCTTTGAATCTGTGTGTGTGTGTGTGTGTGTGTGTGTGTGTGTGTGTGTGTATATATATATATATATATATATATATATATATATATATATATTATTTATTTATTTTTTTTTAAAAGTATATTTTATTGATTTTTTATTTTTTTTACAGAGAGGAAAGAAGAGGGAGAGTTAGAAACATCGATGAGAGAGAAGCATCAATTAGCTGCCTCTTGCACACGCCCTACTGGGGATGTGCCGGCAACCAAGGTACATGCCCTTGACTGGAATCGAACCTGGGACTCTACAGTCTGCAGACCAATGTTCTATCCACTGAGCCAAACCGGTTTCGACTGAATCTGCTTATATTTTCATCAAGATTATTTGCCCCTTATATTTATAATCACTTTTTCTATTTGACTAGAGGCCCGGTGCATAAAATTCATGAGTGCGCACGTGCCTGTGTGTGTGTGTCCCTCAGCCCAACCTGCACCTTCTCCAACCTGAGATCCCTTGAGAGCAGTCAGACACCCTGCTCACAATCCAGGACTACTGGCTCCCAACTGCTCACCTGACTGCCTGACATCCCCTAGCCACTCTGCCAGACATATCGATGCCAAACGGCTCCCCTGCCAGCCCGATTGCCCCTAACTGCTCTTTCCTTCAGGCCTGGTTTTTCCCAACTGCCCTCCCTTGCCACACTGGTTGCCACTAACTGCCTTACCCTGCCGGCCTGATTGCCCCCAACTGCTCTCCCCTGCCAGCCCTCTTGTGTCAACATGGGGGC